ATGCAGCAAGTCGTTTTGTATAAAATCGCAAATGGCAGTCATCCACCTTAATCCAGTTTCCTGGAAGTAGATAAAAAACGGTATATCTCCAGTGCACACTGCTGCCAACGATGACAGTAGAGAAGAACACTGAAGGGCAGTTGGCAACAACACTGACCCAGCGTGCTTCCTGTCTTCTTTTTCAAAAACCACACTAGGCGTTGGTCATTACAAATAAACTACTGGGAATATGATTTCTTGACCCACCAGTCGAGTTATCATTTCTCAAACAGAGGATGAAGTGCATACGGAATAGGACTCTTAGACCGGGAAGGTGGAGCAGTATCTGGCTTCAATTTTATCTGTGCTTCCACCTGTGTGTACAAGTTTGCCCTGTTGGCTCGCTATCAACCGCCAGTTACCATCTTTGGTAATATTTGGGGGATAAACCTTTGGCTGCAAAACAGGTAACACTTGAAATTATATATATATATATATATATATATATATGGACACACTCCGTTAACCCACCGTAATACAGTCTTTACGCATACTTCAACAAACAAAAAATACCCTCTTTTATAAATTTTAACCAAAACGGAGCAAATCCTGGTTTGAAAAACATTACGGTTTTCAGAAGCAGCAACTCCCCCTTGGAAACAATGACGATCAAGTCGCTGCCATTGAGAAAAATACAAGTTCTATCCGTTCCGTTCCAATTCTGTAATGTGCAGAAAAAAATAATTATAGTTCAATCATACCTCAATTGACTAGACCGTTTCAACTGTTACTTCTCTGTTATTTACCAGTTACTGTACTGTTTTCAAATAGCCATAAACAGCAGCGCTATCAACGACGGCCACGGAGTAACCGATCATTGCTTATCCTATCGTTTTCATTCTCTTGCTTGAAAGAAAGACTACTAGAAATGCATCGAAAAAAAAAAAAAACAACTCAAATTAAAGACAGGACGATGACTGCTCACATTAATTATGGGGCAACAGCAAAAAAAAAAAAAAAAAAAAAAAAAAAAAA